TATATATATATATATCATTAAAAACGATATATATATATATATATATATCATTAAAAATGATTAAAAAGATATATACCATTAAAAAAAATCAATATATATACCTTAAAAAAACTGAAAACCCCATTTAGTGAATGATCAAAGATAAAACAAAAAATATAAAATAAATATTTTGGAGATATAATCATTCCATGCATAAACCATATTTTTTCTGTATTGTGGTATATGTACAGTATATGTACAGTATATGTTCGTACTTTTCGCCGGATTTCTGCTCCTCGCGCAGTGATGTTCGACCCGATCGACTTCCTCACGCTCCAATCGATTTGAAAGGGCCTCTACGATCTGCCCGAATCAAATTACTTCTCCTCTTGGGATTTTCACCGCCGTCCCTGCAATTTCGCCGGAGTTTATTGCGACGGCGATAGATCTCTTCGATAAGCCCATATTGAATTACTTCTCCTATTGATATTTTCACTGCTGTCCCTGCAATTTCGCTGGAGTCTACTGTGACGGCGATAGGATGGTGGCCTGCAATCTCGCCCTCAATATCTGCAAGATTTTTTTTTTTTGAAAGAACGAGAATCACGCCAAAGAGAAGTAACAGAATTTTGGCATTACTTCAATTAAATGTCATATGTTAGGTAAAGACACAATTATTTATATTCGGATGGTATATGTATAATATTTTCTATATCACGTAGTGTAAGTGAAAATTTCCCAATGTTTATAACATTCACGTGACAAACATTATAAGCCGAATTAACCTAATATATTGAATGCTTAGTCATATGGTTTGACATTATTTTCTAATATTTAACATGCATTTGAAAATGTCATATTGTAAAAAACAACATAAATATAAATAAATTGAAAGTATAAGTATACATTTTGTATTGACATAGTACTAGTACATTACTCGTATACAACACGGGTGTTGACTTAAGAAATATATGATAAAAGTTATTTATATCTAAAATCAAACCTAACTCTAGAGTAAAAATAATATAAAAACATCACGAAGCATAGATATTCGTCATGTCAGTATTCGAAGCGTGAGAATCTACCGCTTAGACTCAATACGTTTTGAATTAATATATAGGAAATAATTATGGGTGAATCCAAAGAAGCTAATATAACAATTTGGGAAAACGGAATCATGATGTTCCCCAAATTTTATTGACAACAATAGCACAAAAATATGTGTCTATAGAAATAGTAAAGGAAGTTTTTCAATTAAATATTTTTATTCATTAGTATTACCTGAGCCCAATAATATTAGTATCAAAGTTATGTTTAAAATCGTTATTTTAAAATATAGAAGCTCTATTGAAGGGAAGGTTAAAAAAAAAAATTCTGGGAAGCAAATACAAATAGTGCTATTTTTATTTGTCTTTTGATGCTATTTTCAGTATCACAGATAATATCATAAATATGTTATTATCTTTATAACAATATTTTTAAAAAACTATTTAAAAATAGCAATAAATACAAAATAAAAAATACATTTTATTTGAATTCACTCTTGAAATTGTAATATGCCAATATTTATATATATATAACTAAGTTGTTACTAAATCATTATATATATATATATATATATATATATATATTTATATATATAACTCATGTACATCATCGAAAAATTGTTATAATTGCTAACTCTTGAGGAAGAAAAAAGACAAATGTTAAAATAGTAGTTGTCACTCTTATAGCTGGATGTATATAATATTTATTTATTTATTTATTTATATTATATAGTTTAAAATAATTTTATATGTTAATTATGTTTATTGACATACATATATATATTTATTATTAGATAAAGGGTGGTGATGAAATATAAGAAAGAATATTTGAGATTTTTTTTTTTTATTTTTCTTTTTAAAGTTAGTTGGTAACAATACCACACACAGATACTATGATTTTATTTTATCAAATCTTGAGAAATTCAAAAGAGCAACGCAATGCCCGCCAAATTCGACCTTTTGATAGACTATTTGTATAAACTTATCGGGCCACTAAAGTTTTCGAGACCTTAGCAGGCCGTGCACGGCCTTTTGGCCCACCACAGCCCGTTCTCCTCTCACTCTTAATATACGCCTCAACCTCTTCATGAACCATCTGACGGACCCGACTCATTTCGGGTCGGTCCTTCGGCTGCTTCAGAAGGCACCGGCTGGCCACAATCGAGAGTCGAAGGGCCGACTCAAGGGCCTGTTCCCTATCGAGCCTTGGGTCCAATATGTTGCGAAATTTGTCGGGGCACTTGAGGTTGGGCTTGATCCAAACGAGGAGCTTCTGCTCGGGCTTGGGCCGGTTGCGCTCGAGGGGCCGCCTGCCGGTGATGAGCTCGAAGAGGAACACACCGTAGCTGTAGACATCGCTTTTTGATGTGAGGTGGCCCGTTCTCACGTACTCGGGGGCCGCGTACCCCATGGTCCCCGCCACCTGTGTTTCGTGCGCGGGCCAAATAAAATCGATGATATAAGAAACTATTGGAAATGAATACAAAAATTATCTAATTATAACCTGACCCGATAATTTTTTTAAAAACTACGTAACTCAAATTTAATTCAACTCAACTCTTCTCAATATTATCAATATAATTAAACAATATCAATTAATTATCATTACATATCACATTACATCAATTTTATTTCACTATTCGTTCACTCACATATTTTTAGCTACATATCATTTTTTCAATAAAATGTCTCATACTTTTACATCACATCAACTTTAATCATTACATTATAACTATTATTTAAATACAAACTCAAGATCACACGCAATCCTCCAGGCAATCAACTTTATTCTTTATACAGAATTAACTCACATTAACCCAAAATCTAATCAAAACTTGTTTCATTTATATCCAATCACGCCCTAAATTGGTCTTGGCAATGTACTAATTTACCTGCATTTTGATGTTACGTTGCCAATTCGAATTATATAAATAGAAGTTATCAAGATTGGATTTTTTTATAGGATTTGCAAGGGGATAGGAGAAAAAGGATATAGTGAATGTGTATATTTTGGTAGTTGTGTATCATGATAAAGAACGAACAAGTCGTTTTTCCTAATTTTCTATATTTTGAGGATTTAAATGTGGAATGTATGAATACGAATTAAACCGATTAAAAATTTGCATGCTCGAGCATACCTCGGTCGATACATGTGTCATTCCTTCCGAAGGGCCCAATCGAGCCAACCCGAAGTCCGACAGCTTGGCATTCCAATGCTCGTCTAGAAGAATATTCGAAGATTTGAAATCCCTAAAGATAATCTGTACAATGCATTGAAAGTAAAGATAAAAGTTATACATTTACACCAATCCCTCAATTCAAAATACAAAAGTAAATAAATAAACAGACCACCTGAAAACCCATTTCCTCGTGAAGGTATGTAAGCCCACGAGCAGTATCTAAGGCAATCCGCAGCCTCGTTGGCCAAGAAAGAGTGAACATCGACTTAGACGATAAATGGTCGGCCACACTTCCGTTCGGCATGTATTCATAAACGAGAAGGCGTTGGGTTCCTCTTTCATCGTCCTCTGCGCAGTAGCCGATAAGCTTCACGAGGTTCGGGTGGTCCAGGCCACACACAACATTTACCTCAGTCATCCATTGTTTG